AACAGTCAACTCGTGACTGCTGCTGTTCATTTTGGAAGGTTTTCCTTATTCTTCTTTTAGCCTCTCTCTCTTTCTCCATGATGCTTTGTATTTAAGGCAACTGAACAAAACTTTAAGACTTTACTCTGAATATGTGTATATGCAGAGTAATCAACGCAGAAGAGAAAAACGGAAATGCTCCAAAAGCACCCATTTTAACACAAATCTCTTCTTTCAGCAACAACAACAAAAAGAAAACACAAGAGAAATGGGAATGGAATTATTTTCCATCAGTCATTTTCCAAAACCTGTGATAAGTTTTAAGGAAAAGAAGGAGGTAGATATTCAAATTTTCATAGAAATTTTTTTCAGTGAAAAGCGAAAAAAAAAAGAAAAAAGAAAAAAAAGGGGGATAAAAATGGAAGAAGCAAGAAACATTCATCTCACTGGGAGGAAAGATTTTGTATTTATTTTTTCAAGTTTGATCATTTTTTGTAGTCAATTCTAAATATCTGTTAAGTATGTTATTTTTTTTTTATATTTTTTTCTCTTGTGAAACATTTACCCTACCAAATCTCACCAAAAGGCAGAGACCAAAGGTTACCAAGTTTTACAGGGAATTTAAAAGAAAGTAACATTTTAATTCTGGTCTCAAAAGGGCACTTAACAGCAATAAACCTCTGTATTGTCTACCTGGAACATTTGGCAAATCACCACCTGTAAATTTTGTCCCAAATCTTATGGAGGAACTTGTTTCCATACTTGCCAAAACAATTGGTACTCATTTAAGCTTCTTCTATATTCTCACACTGTCATGTAAAACTTTGTAATACTGTGTTTGAAATCAACTTATTGTTGACAGTTCAATTTTTGTTTTATTCATTTCATATATCAATGTTAACTTTGTATATTTGATCTTTGATATTTTGACCAGAATTGTGTCTCTCTGTTGAATTTCTGCTTCTAAAAGTGGCTTTTTGGTTTTCACATAATTTCATTTTATTTCAAAGCATTTAGTTACTTTCCTAATTTGGCTGACTTGAAAAATTGGATTGACTTTCCCTCTTGGCTAAGCTATTTCCTTTTCTCTTACACAATTATGTGTATGTGTGCGCATACACAGACTCACATACACTCACACCTTTTGTTGTCTGTCCCCATTCTGGGCCTCTTTTTTGCTTTCATTGGCAATAACATGCAGAAGATTTATTGTTTGTCTACAATTTCTGAAAATGTTTAGAGGATTTTGGCTTCAAAAAATATAATCACATCTGAATATGGAAAAAAACAGTCTTTCCAAGTTTTTATGAAATTGTCAATTTTTGTGGAAGTAAAATTCCATCAAAAAAGATTTATTAATTCAGTTGCTGAAGGATTTTCAAAATATTACTTTTCTAAGAATTTATTCAGTTCCAGCTTTTTTATTTCTTAGTTAATTTGAAAATAACTTTTGATGAGAAAATTAGCCTGAGAGTTGTTCTAGAGGCCAGTGAACTCTTTTTTTTTTTCTTTCCATCATTGCCTGAAGTTCCTTCTTAGCAATGTTTCAGTATCAAATTCATTTGCTTCATGTGGATTCTTATGACAATAAAGAGGAAGCAGTTTTTAATCAGATTTAATTCAACATGTTTTGATTATTTCTGTAAGCAACAACTGAGTTGTTCTTCCCACTTTGATCTTCGTTCTAATTTTTGGACATTGTGTTAATCTCAATTCTTGAACTTATAGTAACAAGTTTTTCATGTCCATAGGTATTGCCTCTGTATTTGCAGAGGAAGACACATTTTGAACTAAAAAAAATATACATGATAAATCAAAGATAAAAACATAATTTGCTCATCCATCATAAATGCTCTTCAACACAACAAACACTGGCACTTGACTCTTTCACTCATTTATAAAAACATTTCACTGAAGTTCATTTAATATCTTCATTTAGAATTAAATTATTCATTGACGGGGAAAGATTTCCATTCCTTGTTTAGAACCTGTTTGAAGAAATCGATAGTTTTGCAGGGATTTTGATCTCTTCTTTTGTCTTATTCTGATTAGGGCGTTTTTTTTTTTTTGTCGGGTGTTTTTTGAGAGTTCTTTTTCACATGATATTTTTATGCTAACTTGAGAAATTGGCTTTTCTAAATTTTACTTTTTTCATAATTATACTGGTTCTTGACCATTGTAACCCCCAGCTCTACAGGTGAATTTGAAAATTCATGAGGAAAATACATCCATAGGAAAAAGAAAGAAAAGAAAAGTAATGAAATTAATTTGCTTTTCATTTGAATCTAAAGAGAAAAAGAAAGAAGAACAATAATAATGAACCAATGCTTTGTTGAGTGAATTTCAAAGTTTTGCTATTTGCCACTGTTTATAAATTGTATCTTTTGTCAAATTTCCTGTATTTGAAGAGTAGGGACTGCAGTCAGGTTTTGCAACGATATCAGTTGATGATAGATTTAGATGAAAATATTCACTCTTTATATATTTGTATATTTTATAAACTCAAGCAGCATCAAATCTGTTGTCTAATGGCCTTTGATTTTATATTTTATTTGTACACATTATTGAAGGCAAATTTAAGAAGATAAAAGTCCTTTTTCTCTTAAGAATTACCAAATGCTATTAGCTTTAAAGATTTTAGATGATATCAGTGGAGCAAATTTTAGAATTTTAAAGTAATAATTAAAAAATAGAAAAAATGAACCATAAGTGTTGGGGGTGGCGGGTGTGCTAGTGAAGGCAAACTTAAAGTTGCAACATTTTTGATATTCATGTCCCATCCTGACAATTTCCAACCTATTTTGTCATTTGACATTTTGCCTTGCCAAGATGTGTTTGAAGGACTTTTTCTCTATCAGCTGGTTTCTTCTTTCATTCAAAACAAACAAACATTTGCTTGATGCCCCCCCCCCTCCCCTTCCCCAATATACTCTTTAAAAAAGAAAGAAAAAAAATAACAGCTAACATATCACCTCTCCATTGATGCCAGATAGGAGTTTCTGTGGAAATTGGATTACTTCTGTTTGTCAGCCTTGTTAAGGGTATTCTCTGCTTCTACTTTGACTAAATCTGTTCTTTCCTCATATCGAACCAGTCACTACATTCGTATTTGTTCATTCTATGCTTTGAAGGTACTTTTCTGTTTTATGAACATCGCAAATCAATCATATTTTCAATTTACTTATTTAAGAAAAAAAACAACAAAAAAAAAATGGTTTTTAGAAAGACTTTAATAATCTCTTCTTTGATGGTTGCATTTTAAATATGCTGCTTTCCAGGCATCAGTATATTACGACCCAACCATTTTCCATGCTCCTCATTATTTGCCACCTGAATCCAAGTACATTCTTTTGATACTTTTTATCTCCCTACTTTTCAGAACTACCTAGCCCCACTTAAAAATAAATGGAGGTGGGTCAGTGAGTATGTAGTTGAGCAAGTCACTTTCCTATTTTATCTACTAACCATGCAGTAGCAAAAAAGGGGGGGGGGGCTATTATATCCATTGTCAACTTTGACTGAAGCCAGCAAGTGGGCTTACGAATAGAATACCCTGTTAAATTCTTCTTATGTTATTTTGAGTCAGTTACTAGCAATCTCAATATATTGAATATATCAGTGTTTTTTCTTTTTCCTGTTCAAGTCAAGTGTCTTCTATGCCTGTCAATAAAGATCTTGGCTTTCTTTTTGATGTTGACTATCTGAATAGTATTCTATATACCTATCTAGCAAGGTCAGTACTTTGCTCCACTGGCAAGATTTGAACTATTCAAAAACATTCAACTGACACCTCAATAAAAGCACACTTGCTGGGATTTTCAGGTGTTATAATCTTGCTTACTTGAGTACCTTCTGTTGGAGGCTGGGTGTTTAATTTCTTGAACTAACATCAACCAGGCATTTATTAAATCCAGAATACTTAAGCAATATATAATTTTTGCATTATTTTCCTAACTCAAAAAGGGCTCAAGCTCTGATGTAACTCAGAGAAAATTTATGACTTGTTTAACAATAAGAAATATTTTTAGTTCCTGCAAGGTGACGGCTGCAGAATAAGCAGTCTTCATTTTTTTTTTTGTGATTTCAGTTATAAGAAAACTAAATGATAACATTTTGCTTCTCTCTCTAAGTTTAATATTAAAGTAAAATGTTCATATTAGTTTGTTTTGTCAATTTTCAGATCTCTTACTTCAAATTAATTTTGAGTATCTCCATTAAAACCAGGGTAAGTGACTTGAACTGAGGCAGATCTCTATTCTCTTTCCTTGCTGTCCTCAACATTGATCACTGAATACAAAATCAATGATGAAATAACTGGTAATATTGACTATGAAAAACTCACTAATCATGCAAGTGCATGATACTTGTAAAATCTACTCACTCTATCTAACACAAGTATCCACTTACCATAGACACTCAACTTAAGTGAGACTTGAAGTTCTGATAGTGATCTTTACAGTTTTTTTTGTTTTGTTTTTTCAATTCCTCTTGACTGCCACCCAACATTTATAGTTGCATCCAATGAAACATAAAATGTTGCCTGGAAAACACTAAATGCTGTTTTATTTTATTTTTTTTATTTTTTTTTTTTGTTTCATTTTCACATTTGATTTGCAAATTTTATTGTCTCAATATTTGTCCTGAAAAGTTTTTAGCAGGTGCAAATGTAGGTGAACTCTTATTGCTCTGTGTGTCAGCACTTTATTGCTAATTGCTGAGCTCCTCATGACTTTGATGCCAGGTGTTATGTGATAATGATACTGTTGACTGAATTATTTAGACTCAGATATTCAATAAAGTTTGTGTACACTAAAATGTCTTGTTTTTTTTTCCTCTTCTAAAGCACTCTACTCTCAAATGTTTTTAGTTTCAGGAGATATAACAATGTAACTGATGCCAAATTGAGTTTCCAATAGCTGAGTAATGAAAAAAAAAATTTGTTGTTAGATATGAATTTATTGATTTTTTTTTTTTTTTTTGATTTTTTTTAAGTTTCATTGTGAGCTCCTTTTTCATTTCTCTCAACCCTGCACTCCTCCCAGGGTAGTCAGCAATTGATGCAGATCAACCTGGCCACGCTCCATTGATTGGGCTAAAGTCTTTTCAATCTTATCTTCAGAGAGATTCAAATGGTACATATGATTGTAAGTGCACACCAGCTTCCAGACTTCCTCCAGTGGAAGAAAACCTTCAAAATAGTTAATTATAAATTTGTTACATTATACTAAAATATTTTATGCAAATGAAAGAAAAAAAACATATTTAAAATGATTTTACTGCACATAAAATTATAAATGGATTGTTTGATGTTTGTTATCCTACCACCAGGGATTAATTTCAGAAATATGGTTTAAACTTTCTAATTATTGTCAGGTATCATTTCAGATTTATTCCGTTAAGTTGTATATGTTAATAGATTGAAACTAGAGAATGTATCTTGAAAGTTTGACTAACAGAAAAGTGCAAAAGTTGTTTTTACTTGCTAATAAAACAAAAGAAAAAAAACTGATGCAAGTATCATGGAAAGTATTCCCAAAGAGAAACAAAATGTTTATTACAATTTTTCACATGTTTTGGCAGCACTAATTACCTGTGTGGTCAATGTCTTGTTTATAGAGAGCGTTGGCTAGTTTCATGAAACGATCAAACCATGGTTCACTCCCTTCATCCAGCGGACTTGTAGCTTGTAACTTCAGTTTGTTGATGGCTTCCTAATGAAAGAAAATTACAGCTTAGAGAAATGTTTTCTATTATGGCTTAAGTCTTCATATTTACTCTCCATAAAACTGATTTCTTGTAGCTTTTAGTGTTTTTAAAGTTTTTTTTTTTTTTTACTAAATTCAGTTCCAATTGATAAATATTAAATTTCCTCAAATTGTTACCTAAAGAGAAACTATTATAAAATACTTTTATTTATTCAATTTGAACATTTTATCAGACTTTTAGTATTTTTTTTTTTTTTTTTTTTTTTACTAAAGCTGTATGTGTTAATAGGTCTTTTTTTAAATCAGCAGATACAATAAATTCTATTCTGACATTGGTAGTACTACAAATTACAATATTGAATAAATGCATCAACACTTCAATTAAAGACTCTGTACAAGCATATTTTTTTTTACAATTAATGTTCCTTTCTTATAAAACTACGTAGAAGGTAAAAAGAAAAAAATAGAAATCTTTTGTGAGACAAACATAAGACAGTTCAGTTAAAATTATGTAAAATAAAGGCAAAAAAAAAAACCCAAACCCCAAACTCACCATGTTTATTGTGTGTTGGCTGTCTGTTCTTTGCCTTGATGCAGGCTGGCTTGTTTCCTGCTTCAGAGCCATTTGGCTGGCATTCCTTGTTTGTTGCAAATCATCTTTTAAAGGTTTACAGGTTTTTTGCTCATAGACCTGGTCATCTGTTTCTGGTAGGGTCTGTTGAAAGAAGTAGCAATGAATAAACAATGCCAGGTTATTTATTTCATATTTTATTTAAAGAAAGGCAGAAATCTAAAGATTTAAACAAGCAGTTGAATATGTAAGCCATAAATCTTATTTTTCTACTGATTCTTTGTATATTTTGTTAGACTTTGTAAAGTTGGTAATTAACTGTGTCATCTCTTATGCTATGGCACTTTAATTATTTATTTTTTATTTAATTAGAAATAATTACAAGTCAGTTTTTTATTTTCTTTTTAATTTTAACTGAACTGTCTTATGTTTGTCTCACAAAAGATTTCTATTTTTTTCTTTTTACTTTCTACGTAATTTTATAAGAAAGGAAAATTAATTGTAAAAAAAAATATACTTGTACAGAGTCTTTAATTGAAGTGTTGATGCATTTATTCAATATTGTTATTTGTATTACTACCAATGTCAGAATAGAATTTATTGTATCTGCTGATTTAAAAAAGGACCTAAATGCAAAGAAGTTGGAAGGGTTAATCACTTAGCAACACTGATGTCAAACAGTTGGTGGGGTGGACAGAAAAGTATATATATATATATATATATATCTTTAAAAATATATATATATATATATATGATAATATTAGTGGTAAATATGCACATACATATGCAAAATATATAAATATACATGCATACACATACATATATATTTTGTATAAAAAAAAATTCCAATAGGATAGAATCCAGGTAGAACTCATTTTCTTAATTACACAGCAGCCCTTTTAGTAAATGCCCTTCAGTTTTAGTTTCCCCCACCCCTTTTTCTTTTCCTCTCCCTCGCTCTTCTAATCTTTAAGATTAGATCGTCTATTGTGGGTGTATGTCACCACAAAATGTATCCTTTCCGGTTACGTCTTTAATCTATTAGACATCCGACAACATTCATATTTCTCTCACTTAAAGCATCATTGACTCCCCTCTTTAAAACTTCTCTCTGTTAAATTTTAATTCCCCACCTTCTCTCTCTATAGCTCTAACATTCATCCCACACTCTCATACTTACACTCTCTTTAAATTTTATTTTTTATTTCCGGAGTTGTTTTTTCCATTTTCTTTTTGAATTCGTAGGTCTGATGAATTGGATCGTATTTATGATTCCAATGGAATAAATTATGACCATGGAATATTAGTGTTTAAACCTTTTTATTATATATATATATATATATATATATATAGCCTTATGATTAATATAATGTCGCAATGGAGGGAAAGGCTTATGAATGATAGTTATTGTGTTCCAATCTAAGGAAAATTGAATTTTTTTTTTTTTCTTTCTTTCTTTTTAGATAAAGCATCAATTTTGGGGGGAATTTTAATAAACGGGTCTTTAAATTTCAAAACTTTATAAGAAATAGCCATCCCCCTTATTTATTCATGAGACTAGTTAAGAGATGTATAATTAGAAGTCAATTATTAAATTTTAATTGTGAGTTGGCCCAGTAACATGGATAATCTGGAGTTCTGAAACCAAGCCTGCTAGAAAATTGGTGCTTTATCAATTTGGTAATTTAAAAAAAAAAAAATTAAACCTTCTCTAGACTTAGTGGCATAATTTGTATGAAAACTAGAGAAAAAAATATTTCCTTGAACAGAATTTCATCTCTATTTTTCATGAATGTTCCTCTGTTTATCAAAATAGGGTTTGAAATTTTTCTGATCTCACCTCGTCTTTTTGCCATAATGGAGGTGCAGATGTTTCTCTGGGAGACTTTTGGGTAGCTTTTGGCCAGTTGGCCAATGGAGAAGGATAGTTGCGAGCATAGTCCAGTGGTTTTTTGCTTGAAGGAATCCTTAGACCAGTGTGAATTGGCTGCACTCGCTCCAAGAAAGCAACAAATTTATGCCAACTGTATTTAAAAGAAGAAAGTAAAAATGTTCTGCAATTTCAAGATTTTTCTTTTTCACTGGGATTATTAAAAGCTGGAAAATTTTACACTTGCTCAAAACATTGCTGCAATTCAATTGAGAAGTACATTATTTGTAATGAATTTTTATAACTGTAAATTAAATACTTTATCTCTCCCAAAATTGGCTAAAAATTATCTTGTGTGTTTTATATGCAAAGTTGAGGTATCTGATCTCTTAATGTTTAATGCAATAAATAACCTGACCTTATTAGCTTGCCTCTGAACCTAATACTGTAATATTAGAATGTCAAGAATCATACATCAAATCATGGTATCAAATACAATACTTATTGGCTGAGAAAGCATTGTACAATTAAAGCAGAGAATCAAAGATATCAAAAGAAAACCAACATAGAACTGCCATTAAAACATTTTGAGTATTGTTTCTGACTGACATATAGCCATAAACACATTGAATGTCCAATTATTGAAGTTAAGCAAATGGTCACTACTTAGATGAGTGATCAGGTGCTGTAAGCTTATGGATTGGAGTGGGGGGGGTAGTTATTGACACAAAGTAGAATTAGCATGCCTAATTCAAATCAAATATACATCCACATTAATTTAAAATGTTCTTATAATTTCTTTAAAATGCACCATTTTAGACTCTTGCTTAAAAACAATTTAAGAGATTTGAAGATTCTTATACTCTATTCTCTAGTGACAAGGGCCCTTATCCACCTATTTTGAAAAATCAGCATTTAAGTTCTCTGTTCCATTGCTGATCACTGGAGTAAGTGATAAACACCAGGCAGGCCACATGTCCCTCCTTATCTCTCCACATAATTTCATTTCTCAGGGCTGAGTGGTAAGATAATACCAAAAGGTTGCAAAGATAAAAACTAATCTGGCTATATTTCATTTCTAGTTTTAAAGTTCACTAATCCATCTTTCATGTGACACTTTTCACAAAGCAAACAGATCCTAGGCTGAATAATAACTCTTTTATTCTAGGTAGAATACTCAAAGCCTACACTCCTCCAATATTTGCATTTTATTCTCCTGGGCATAGAATATAGCACATAAACATACATTTGTATGAGCATGACTCAAAACTGCCTCGGCTTTGCAACCAGTGTGCCACAGAAGTTAAAATATTCTGATGCACTTGTTTTGTACAAAATTCTTGGGACCAAGCTCACTTTATGTTTAACTGGGTCCTGCCAGAACACTGCCGAGGATGAAGAAAAACTACTACATTATTTCTAAATAGAGGGCCAGTGAGAGCAATATTTGCTGAAAGAGCAGACTACATACATACATGTGATGAGACAGCAGTACCAATCCAATTTATTCTTGTAAGAATAAATCCTATGTTTTCTTTTTTTTTTTCTTTTTTTAAACAAAAAAAAAGTAGCTACAATGCAAGTCATTACTATTTTACAATTTGCAACTGAACAAGTTCCTGGTGACATTTTGGCAGATGATAATTAAGTTTGTAAGTTTGACCCAAACCACAACCATGGATAAGATTCCCCATACTATCAATGACCCGAAGGATGAAATTCTAAAGAACTCACTTGTATTGGCCAATACTGGCATCACAGCACCGATGCAAAATTTGGTCAATCACCCATTCTTCCAGAGGAAGGTGGTTGTGATAACAGACATCTTTTATCTAAAAAGAAAAATCAAATGTTTGAAAAGAAATCAAAATAAAACAAATTAAAATACCGAAAGTTTGTAAGTAAACAAATCTGACACTGGCCAAAATGTGATGCAATAATATATGTCTATGGTAGTTTGAAAGAAAACATGATCTTGGTGTTTCAGTCAGAACTTCTAGTTTCATTTTTCTTGCTTCATATTTAACATTTATTGATAAAGCTATTTTCTTTCTAAGCAAAAAATCATTGACACTTAACTGGTATGGTATTTCCAGTTTAAGAAAATTGATTTTTGCTCATTTAGCATCAGTTATTCAATGTAACATTAGACTTTTTTTTATGTCTGCCGATCAGCAGATGTTTCTGAAAGATCAAATACTTCAGTATTACCTTGAAATATTTACCTGAGCTGCAGAGAGGGTTTCTCTGTGATCCCGGTCAGCAACTTGGAAACTGGCTGTCAATCGATCAAAGTTGATTGTATGGTCAGCCTTGAGTAACTGATTCTCACTAATTCGTATCAACTTAGCAATATCCTGGTCTGGCAATGGAGAATCTTTGATTCTACAAAGAATATAAAAAAGGACAAGTCATCTTACAAAGTTCTGTAACAAAAACCAAGGAGTCCCATAGATACTAATTTTGGATAGTGTAACATAAACATAATCAAAAGAATGATTTAGAAAAAGGACAACATAACCGAATAAGATTTATGCATATTCATTAATGACATTCCACTTTTACAAGTTTTCTTTCTTATTTTTTTATTGCATCAATAATTATCAAACTAAACTTCCCATTTTACAAGATTATTGCTGTAACATCTGATCTGTGATGGCCAGTTTTATTATTACAAGTGACCAGCCATTAATGAGCCGAAAATATCTATAACACTGATTGATCACAGCTATTCAAAACCAGCCAGCTTTTCTCTCTTAGATGATTGACACAACATATTTGTTATTCACTCAATTGTCCCTGGGCCAGTCTGAGCTAAATATATAAGAGTTTTAAATTTACAAGACATTCAAAAGTAAAAATAACTTCATGACTAAAAAAATAAAGCTTGTGTGTAAAAATGATGTTTTCGCTATGAAATTAGAAAAATATATCCCATCCCTATTTTGAAAAAACTTACGTATCTTTCAAAATATTATTTTGACAATTGTTGAAATATTTTGAAGTGTTTTCCTTCTGTGAATGTTGCTCATAAAGGAAGGGTTGATTTGCACTTGAAAGTTCATCTTGCCCTTCATCTAGTCTAAAATAAAAGAAAACAATGTTTCTATAAAATCAAAAGCAAATTTTTTTCAATCTTCTTGAATTGACAATAAAAGACCCTAGATTTGGTTATATATTCATGTATTCACTTGACCTGATTTGGTGGGGATTAAGTTATTAACACTTGGGATATCTTTACTGCCTCTTAATTCTTTTCTTATGTCAGATTAATGAGTCAGATTTCCCTGAATTTAGATCTTTCATAATTTAACCATCTTTCTCCCATCAATATGACTGCTCATTCTCAACCCCACTGACTGACCATTCGAACCGTGACCCTGCCTATATAACTGTGACCCTGCCTATATAAGCCCACAACTGGAACTTTCTTCCTTGACTCTTTATAATTCATCTAGCCTCCACTGGATTGCTACACTCTGTCATTTCATTTTGTTAATCTGTTTCATCCCAGTGCTACCAAAAAACATAGTATTCTTGGTGTCGTTACTTGGCAGTGTTTTCTTTTTATCTTCACAGACCATCGCTTATCAATGTTAGCAACCTGGGAGGCAACCACATTCTATGGGGATTTCATTCAGTGGTTTTTGTAATTCTGGAGATTTCAGGTGTAAAATTCTTACAGCCATGGAAACTTCTTTGCCGAAAACTCATTTCAAGGCACAAATCAACAAACTGTTGATATCTAACAATGAGGTTAATGATAAATTAAAGAAATGAAAAACATGTAAGGAAGACAGTATTATTAATCTTTCTACATCACCTGCTTGACAGTCTTTCAGCAGGAAAATTATTCTAGCAGTTATTCATAGTAAATGGAGAAACCTCAGAGCAGTAGCCAGATGAGTAAGGATTAAAACTGAACTTAGCCTATTTTGTCACCTGGTCGCTGTTTTTGTCACCGGGTCTCTTTTTCTGTCTGTCTCTCTTTAGGTATTGGCTGGTTTATATAAGAATTTTGTAAACATTAATTGTTAAATGTTTTTGTATAAGATATCATAACATTTCTTTGTCTCAGAAGCAGATGGCCTCTTGTGGAATGCATTCATTCCTAAAATCCTTACATTGGAGTTGGTAAGCTATAAACATGTTTGGTGTTTGATAATATTTTAAATAAACAGTGAGAATTCTTCTGTGGAATTTGGAAAATTTCAGAAGACCTTAAATCTTGTCACACTGCCTAAGAAGCAACTGGATAGGTTGGGGGAATGAATTCTACTTGTATGCTATTTACATTATTCGGACTATTGTTCTCATCTTTGTTGCCGTATTTATTACAACGTTTCAGCGGTTGTATGCTCCAGCTTTCTTCAGGTAGTTGGAATGTCAAACAGAACCCTTTATTTCGCTCACTAGGGTAGACTGTTCTAGTTCCACATGCCATGTTTAGTGGATGTCAGTTATCTCCTGTTAATTCCCCTCTCCAAGTTCTCCACTGCCTTAACCAGGTATTGAACTCACACTTTTTGGGTCCTGTCACTGGATCTAACTAACGCCTTTATCCACTGTGCCATGTGTCCTGGCACGTGGAACTAGAACAGTCTACCTCAGTGAGCGAAATAAAGGGTTCAGTTCGACATTCCAACCTCCTGAAGAAGGCCGGAGTGTACAACGGCTGAAACATTGTAATAAATATGGTGACAAAGATGAGAACAATAGTCTGAATAATGTAAATAGGGTACATAATACATCATCTCAGAAATATAGACAGATACTGAAAGGCCGAAATGTTGTAATAAATATGGTGACAAAGATGAGGACAATAGTCTGAATAATGTAAATGATGTACATAATACATCATCTCAGAAATATAGACAGATACTGTATTCTACTTAGCTTATTTGAGGTTCAAACCTTGCTAGAACCTCCTCAAATTCATTTTATGGCTTTTAGTTATTATTTTTAATTCTTTTTTTTTCCCCGCCTTTTTTCTCCTCAATTCTTAATTAGTTTCTCTGAGATTTCTCACAATTTAATCTTAATTATTTCCTGCTTAAAATCGTCATTAGGAATTCTCAAGTTCAACCAGAATTACCAATTTGTTATGAAGTTATGTAGTTCGGTATTTATTGATGTTTTTTTTTCATCAGTACATTTCTATCAGTTGTCGACACTCTATGGTTGGTGGTGTATTGCCCTCAACTGCAAATTTTAATTTTCAATAGACACTTCTCATTTTTTTAACCAAACACACAACCCCCACCACAGTAGTTTTGTGACTGATTTAATGAGATTTCTTTCTCTCATGGAAATGAATGTGTGCCAAAAGAAATAACCTTTCTGTTTTCAGTTTGAAGGATTCATTTGAAGAAACAGATTCACAATTCAATATTAACTAATCTTATCAGTCACAGGACACACCCAGTAAGGATGTAAACTTACTACCAAGGGCTTTGCAATTCCTCACACTGACAAGCTAACTGCCATTACAAAGTATGCAAAAACAAGCAAGTTAACTGAAAAAAAACGGTACCAACTTGTTAGTGTCTGCCATTTTCAAGGCTGTTCCCAATAGAGACAGGACCTTTTCATAGTTGATGCCACTTAAATGTCGATCGGGAGAAACAAACATTGCTGTGATCAAACGTAGTAAATCCGCTGAAATATGAAGCTGAAAAAAAATTAGAGTTGAGATTCACTGAAATGAGAAAAATGTTCAATAAGGAATAAAGAAAATTCCTCAACAGAAATGATTTTCAACTGCTTTATCAAGTTTATCAAAATTCAGAGCAGATTTTTTAAGTGGAAAATTTATAAAAGCATGTAACTTCATGATTATCAGTATGGAAAATGAAAACAATGAACTGAGTTTCAATAAAAGTTGCTTGTAATCAGCTCACTTCTGTTCCTGGGTTAATAGCAGGGCAGTTAGAGTCCTTTATCCTTAAGCTAAGAGTAAGGTTCCTCTGGGAGGACAAAAATAAATAAAACAAAAACATTTGGCTTGGAAGTTACCATAATTAGTCCCAAGCCCAGTTGAAAAATAGGAAGGATTAGTGTTGGATTATCATCTCAGTTTCATGAAAAATTGCTAGAGAAAAAGTGACTAAATTTCCAATAAACAAATCTATTATTCAAAATGGAGTCAAGCGTTGCCCAATAATTTTGCGTAATGTGAAGATTTTTTATTTACAAAACAGTGATACAAACATCTGAAAAATAAACAAATTAAAACCAAGATTTTGTTTCATCTATTGTTTTCACCAGAGATTTCCCAGTTTTTGAGTAATTAATGGACAACATTTTGAAGACATTCTAACAAACACCTAAATCAATAAATACGTACCTTTGTTGCTACTGATTTCTATTTTTTTTTACACCCTGAAGAGGACAAAAGGTTGGAAAAACTTTATTCACATAAATTCATAATATAATTAGTCAGTCATTAAAGTATTTTACCCAATTATCATTCAGATAAGTTGTTCATTCTAGCATAAAAGAATGATTTCAGTTTTGATTTTATGAATTCTTCCAGAAGTTTCCACCAAAATAAAATACTTTATGTGTATAAATGCATAAAAATCATATAAAAATTTGAGTAAACTTCAAAGCCATGTATCAGATTTCCTTATCATGATGTGTCACTGAATACTTTTCCATATTAATCATATATAAAACCATTGCCTAAGAAAAATAGTTAACAAAATAACCTCACAAGCCAGTTCTGAGGGTAGCAAATTATATCCTCGGTAGTGGTATGATGTTGTAGGCTTTGGTCAGACTAATCTAAGCTTAAAATATATCAGCATTTAAGTTTGTTTTATGGATGAAATGGCTGCCCCAAAATTTGGCATTCGAGCTTAGAGATAAAAGGAGGGATTTTGAATGTTACTTTTTTCCTCTTCCTATTTTGGTCTAAGCACAGTTTGGTAAAATAGATATTGGGATGATGGAATGAAGATGTTTTAAGTAATTTTTAAAAATTAAATGTCGCTGGACGGAAAATATTTCATTACAATTTTCAGATCCATTGATTTCAAAAGAAGGGTTAAGCAAAAAGCTGAAATTAAAAGTAAAATCAATAATTTGGATAAACAAAATGAAAAGTAAAGCTGTTCTTTGTGTGAAGCAAAAAAAATAGCCAACTTATTTACATTTTTTTTGGTCAAGGCGAAACTCAAATGTTGAAAACTGCACCAACCAGTCAGTTTATGGTCAATTGCTGAAAGCACCGTGTAAATCTCCCTGAGTTGGTTTTGATGAACTCCTTGCATTTCTTTGTTCAAAACCCGAATTAGTTTTAACTCGTCGTCTTTGCTAAGTTTTAGAGGCTCAGTGGGAAGGTAAAGAGTCTGTGGCAACAAGTTTAACAAGTACTTGCGATCAGTATCAAAGTCAGAGGGCAAAAAATGATTATCAGTCTGAGTATCTGCTATATTGACCTCACGAGATGTTAATTCATTTTCAGTCTCTTCATTATTCAATAGATGCATGTTCAAAAAATCTGGTTCATCAACTTTTCCTAAGTAGCCGGTGTCTCCATCTTTACCATTTAGTAAGTTACGAGGGGACAATGTCCAACACTCTGGCTCAAAAACGGTGGACATTTGGTTCTTTGTTCTGTGTCGCTGAATAGGAGGAAGTGTGCTATAAGGACTCAGTTTGGCTGTTTTGGAATCTGGCCGGAATCCTAGAGGTGTTGTCCGCTGGACACTCAAAGAACTGGCAGCCTGTTAAAAAAAAAAAAGAAAATATCAATTTTGTATCTTGACTAATCGAGATTAATTTTCTGCATTGTCTGAAATATAGTGTTATTATTCTACAGGATTTATTCAGAGGAGTATATTCATTCATATGCAGATTGGTGTGTTCTCCAACCTTCTTCAAGTGCATATTACATCTGGTAATCTTTTTTGCCAACAAGTACGACAGAACAAAGAAAAAAAATAGCAGAAAATAAATTATCTGAAACAAGAAAAACACAGGTACTTGTCTGAATAATTCATAGAATAATGACAATGATTCCTTGTTGTGTGGAAGAACTCTACTTTCTACAAATAAACACAATTCTATAATTAATGCAATGTTTACCATAATTCTTGAATACTGATAATCCATTTGTCTGTAGTTTTCAGAGCATTGCTAAGATAAAATCATTAGCAATACTTTTATATTATTTAGAGGTAACAAAAAAAATTATGTCAGCATAAACAAAAAATGTGAATCATAAATGAGGAAACTGTGTTCCTTGTTCCTATTCAGTTGAATCCAGAAAAGGATTTGAAAAGATCATAGGCGTTTAGTGCAAAGGAGAAAAAAAGAAACAAATGAAAGAGGGAAAAGATCATAGGCGTTTAGTGCAAAGGAGAAAAAAAGAAACAAATGAAAGAGGGAAAAGAATAGGCGTTTAAAGGAGAAAAAGAAACAATGAAAGAGGGAAAAGATCATAGGCGTTTAGTGCAAAGGAGAAAAAAAGAAACAAATGAAAGAGGGAAAAGATCATAGGCGTTTAGTGCAAAGGAGAAAAAAAGAAACAAATGAAAGAGGGAAAAGATCATAGGCGTTTAGTGCAAAGGAGAAAAAAAGAAACAAATGAAAGAGGGAAAAGGTCATGGGCGTTTTAGGCAAAGGAGAAAAAAAAACAAATGAAAAGGGAAAAGATCATAGGCGTTTAGTGCAAAGGAGAAAAAAAAAGAAACAAATGAAAAAGGAAAAAAAGGGCATTTGGAAAAAAGGAAAAAAAAAACAAATGAAAGAGGAAAAGATCATAAGCATTTAGATAAAAGGATAAAAAAAAAACAAATGAAAAAAAAGATCATAGGCGTTTAGTGCAAAGGAGAAAAAAAAACAAAATGAAAAGGGAAAAGATCATAGGCGTTTTAGTGCAAAGGAGAAAAAAGAAACAAAAAAAGAAAAAGAAGTGAAATAAAAAAGGAGAAAAAAGAAACAAATGAAAGAGGGAAAAAGATCATCTTTTTTAGTGCATTCAAAGAAAAAAGAAACAAGTGAAAGAGGGAAAAGATCATAGGCGTTTAGTGCAAAGGAGAAAAAAAGAAACAAGTGAAAGAGGGAAAAGATCATAGGCGTTTAGTGCAAAGGAGAAAAAAAGAAACAAATGAAAGAAAGAAAAAATAACAATTGAGATTGTGCATTTGTTCTGCTCTGTTCTAAATGTGGAAGAACAAAATTATCCATACCAAGGCTCGTGGGCTTCGGAAACTGGAATGTAGGAGAGTGGGATCAACTCGAGTTGGCTTCTCAGCAATTGGGTCCAAAACCAACAACCGTCGTGGAACTCCATAACCATCAGCTTTACTGAAAGTAACAAAGAAATAGATTTGAAATCAGAAAAAACTCTTCCCTCCCTTATTAAATATTATCACAAAAACAGTCTGTTTATTTTTTACTTTTTTTAAGTCATATTAATTGGCATTTTCTGTTTGTGAAAAATCTTAACTGCTAAAAATCAAACACCAGATCTGGTACTAAAATTTAGTGAAAAAATATTATGTAGACTAATCTTGTAAGGTACAGTGTTTGTGTATGTGTGTGTCTCCAAGCAACTCCTCCACTCCTACTTGTCCGATTTCAATAATCCATAGCTTATTCAAATGCCCTAGAAAAGTTAGGTGCAAGGAATAATTTTCATTGAGCTCAGATTTAAGGTTGCCAGATTATGTGAGGTTAAAAATATATATTAATATATTATACTAGCCAATATCATTGCTTTCATGGTTCAAGGGGAGTAACTCTTATTTCCCATTTGTATCCAAAATTGCAGCTAGCTTAAAATTTTAAGCTAGCTAAAATTTAAGCTTGCTTAAAAGCCACCCTATCAGATGGCATTTAAGCTCACTCCTGTGAAAGACTCTTAGTTTAGCCATCATCACAATAGCTAGGGAGAAGTAGATGCAATAGGCATCAATAAACTACAGAAGAACTCAAAATTGATCGCTACATTTAAGTATTAAATTAATTTTTAAGCTTACTTTTTAAAAGTTCAATGATAATTCTTCTGCTGTCACTTAATTTAAAGACAATTTGATGTATGTAGATCCTTATTTTCCATACAAACAATTATTTTTATTTCATGGGTGACAGAACGGGATAACTTATAAGATAAAATTAATATATTGTAAAGATGGGAAAATAGAAATTAGAATTAGTTATACATTCAACATTTGAAGAGTTAGAGAAACATAATAGCTAATTAAGTAAAACCTATATTATGGAATCTATATGAATAAATGTGAAATTGGAGATCAATTCTCCCACAAATTCTGAGATTAAAAAGCCCCAGTGCTGTTTTATAATAGTTTGGTATTTACTCCACCACAAAGTCATGTTGTGACACAAGGTCAGTTTAAAGTGGAAAGCCTGAGCATGTACACCCAGGTTAGGAACAAAAATTCCCCGAGTCCCTGCTACTGCCAGTTGCGCTGGCCTCAGTGTGAGCACCAATCCTTCTTTGTAGTGCAATGTTAGGGTACGGTTTGGGGCAGCTGTCCCCCAAGGCTGGGCATCTCTCAGTATAATTTTCTTTTATCTGAGCATTGTTTTGATTTTCATATCAAAAATAGTTCTGTTTAGGAATATCGTCTTATATAGTGGAGAAAAGTATTTGAAATTTGCATTTTACTTGGCCTCCAACAAGGTGGCATCTATTTGTAAAACCAAATTTATGCCAATTTATGAATGAAATATTCATTTAAAATTTTTGTTTCAAAGATTTAGAGTAGTGAATATATTTTACTTTGCAAAGCGATAGTGAGCAGGTGAAGCCCCCTAGTCATTAATATGTGTGTGTGTGTATGTGGAAAATTCAAATATAAATAAATCTATCTACACAAACAATATTAATAAAGGAAATGACAAGTAGAGAAAACATCTATGCCAATGCGTATCGTTCCTTGATAAACTTTATCAAGACAAATGTAGAAATTTTATTTATGAATTTGTATTTAAACACAAAGAATAAGTAATGCTGAGAACATTATTTTTCTCTTGTATATATAAATATATATATAGACACCTCCAAGAAAAAGAAGCGATACCTCAGGTTTAAAATTTTCCAGATTGACAAATATTTCTGAACCTTCCTCTCAAAGCTTATAATCACAGGATGTACATTGGTGACCTTGGCTTAACATCAAAAGCATCAATATTTACATTCTGATTTAAAAGTATGTCTGCTTAATATGCCGATTTTCAATCCACTTTTGGACATTTATAAAATAGGTCCCACCTGATCCTTGACAAAATTTACTAAATTCTTTTTGTAATGGATCAGTTGTAAATTGACCAAGTAGGACATATTTATGGCTCGTAGCTAAAAGGTGTTGACACAGATGAACAATTCCATTGCAAATATGGTGGATCGTAGTAGCAGTGTGTTTGGATAATTGTTTTATACAATTATCTTGACTACCAGCCATATTAAGAGCCATTTCACCAAACTCAATGATAAAATCAAGTTGGCTATCATTCGGAGATCTGATTTTAATTTGTAGAAAGTCATTGTGTAGTTTACTAATTTGAAGGGCCTTAACATTTAAAATTTTCCACCATGTCAGAACCTTGTTTATGAAGATGGCAGTATTATTCTTATCCACACCTATTTCAGACTGAGTAAGAAGTGCATTATATGTTTTTTCTGAAAACATTCTGAGGCAAGCCTGTTGTCTTTCTATGGGTTTTGGAGCAATGGAAATTTTATTTAAATCTGAAAGTTTAATTAGTCTTTCAGATTCAAAACAATATAATTGTTTAAGACATGCCAATTTTTTTACTTGTTTTACTCCATTATCATCAAAGATTAGTTCTGTCTTTTCTGCAAACCATAAATTGAGAATATTTTTCAAAAGATGAACATAATCAAAAATCAAATGTTTATTATCTTCAGTTAACTAAGGCTTTTCAGGGAGTGTGGAATATAATTTTAAAAAAACTTGATTTACTTGATTGGCATCATATATAACCTTTACATCAGCTGGTACAGATGTGATGGCCTGAACTGTTAACTCAGTTTGTTCAAATAAAAAGGCTGATGTTAATTTTGAAATTGGAATCAATCTTGTAAGAAATTTTGGACCCCCATTAATACATATCAACATTATACTTGTTTGAGCAAGTAGAGATGGATTGTCAACTGACTTACTAAATAGTTGTTTGCCATGATATAGTAACATTTTTTTTTATAGATACTTCATCCTGGAGAATTATGAACCCATTTTGACTGGCATTAAGAGTATTAAATACAGATAGCAAAAAAGATTTTTCATTAAATTTTGAAACTTTTGTTGTCATCCTTTTTAATGTTGCTAATGACGGTATGAAAATCCTGTGTTAATCTATTATACAATGACTGTGATGTTGTATAGTACTCAAAAGCACATACTACTATATCCGACTTGCATTTCATTCCAACCATTTTGGGGGCCATTGCTGAAAAGTGCTGACTCAAGATATCCTTCTTGTGATCAAGAGCCATAGAATTTAAATACCAGATAATTTCTTTCAATGTTGACCTGTATTCATATGGTTTTTGAACAGGCTGCTAATGTAACACTTAACTCCATAATGAAAGGTTTTGAACTGCAATTTTTTATAAAATTATCAACATAAAGAGAAGGATAACTTTTGATGACTGAACAGTTAAAATATTTTCAGCCAAAAATGTTACACCTGGATACAGAAAGTATTTTTCATTGTTGATTCGATTTTCTTTCAAAGTTGTATAATTAATTTTATCTAATTTTAAAAAAGCATTAATTTCATTAATTTGATTTCGAGCAGTACTGGAGGTTTTTTTTTTTATATCCCTTTGAATAGCAGAGGTTGTTGCTATTTGACTCTTTGGCACACAAGGCCATACAGATGCTGGATTTTTGGGGCACATTTTTCTATGCACTTCTAAGGTATCAAAATTTGAAGGCCAATGTAGTTGACAAATAACTTTTGTTTGTAACATTCAGATTGGCATTTCAAACTGATTTTCTCCATTGCTCTCTCTCATCTTTGTCTTTTGGAAAACAATAAACTGCTATTTTATTCATCTCACAGATTTGTCTTACTGGCTTCTGTAATTTCTTTTGCAAGCAACGACACACCACTTCTGGGGCATTGCTTGAAACTAGGTAATATCTAAAATGATTAAGTTTCTTAATTATTTCTTTTACAGTTTCAATTTAGGGGTAACTTTTCAAGCCCAAATTATACTCTTAATCCCAACTTTTATCCTCTCCCTCCTACCAATAAGTTAAAAACAGAAATTATAGAGGGTTGCCTTAAACCTGAGAATCCACATTTCAAATTGATTTTGTTTTGTATATTGGTTTTGGTGTATATTGTTAAGAAAGGCTTGATGTGGCAGAGATCAGCAGTCACCCTTGAAATATTAATGATTATAGAATTTAGTTTATAGATGAGAAAAATAATCTTGGTGAAGTATGTGCCTAGAGAATCTGTGCTTCGTCAGAATTATTAATATAAAATTAATATATAATGTTTAGATGAATTAATGGAATACCAATTAGGGAAGAAGAGACTGTTCATTTAATCGTGAAGGGGGAGAGATGAGCAATCAGGTTGTATTCTAAGTTTACCAACACACCAGGTTTTTGTCGCAATCACCGTTTATTTAAGCACGTATTTGTATGAAAAAAAACAAAGTTGAAGTTGGAATTGGAGCTGGGTGAAGTTGGTTGACAAGCAGTCGACCAGAGAGAGAGAGAGAGAGAGAGAAAGAGAGAGAGAGAGATAGGCAATGAGAGTGAAAGCATCTACTTGCTGCTGTAATAAGTGGGGAAGTGAACTCACGTTATCTGCAATATCGGCACAATACCGCCAGTGAACCCTCTTATATCCTGATATTGAAATTATTACGGCAACTACTAAGAACAAAAAGGGTGAACCTGAAAACTATTTCTCTCCTTTCAGAATTATTTGCAATATTTGTTTTTTTTTTTTGTTTTTCTGAACTTTATTTCATATACACTACTTTCTTGTAAAAGAAACATTATTCTTTTTGTACCAATTTCCTCCTTATATACAAATTAAATTTTTCTTTGGACTCGAATCGACTTGTTCATATTTGATTTTTCTGCTTGGCCAGATTCTCACCCCAATGAACTTGCACATTGAGCAGCTGAATCTTCCAGGATGTACAATTTGTTAATTGCTCTCCGGGATAAAGAAAAAATCACAACGTGGCTGGAAAGTGGAATCAAATCGACATTGTGAACCGGGGGCTTTGATTGAACCTGTAATACTGGATCAGGACAGGACCAACAGCTGGCCTTTTAGAGTACATTGTGGTCCAGTGGGGTCAGGATAGGTGTTACATTGCAAAATATAATCTTTTAATTAATTATTGAGTATATCTAAATTTCTGGCACTTGTCAACTCAAGATCAGCGGTCACCCTTGAAATATCAATAATTATAGTAATATAGAATTTTGTTTATAGATGAGAAAAATAATCTGGGTGAAGTTTGTGCCCAGAGAATCTGTGTAATCTAAAATGTCAAAACAATACTGGCTCTCTCCCAGAGTGATGCTCTTCCAGGCAACACCTCTCCTTTGATTTGAAGTGGGGACTGCTTGAAGAGAGAGGACTTTGGCTATTTTTGAGACAAAGTCTTGTGGTGGGACAATCCACCACAGCACACTTTAATCTTGGCCTTCTTGTGTCAAAATTAGTTTTGTGCTCAACTTGAGTGAATAAATTAATTACTTTTTATAGAAGAACCTGAAAAAAATAACTGAACAGCAAACAGCAGCATGATTAATATTTCATTCACTGTGTTTTTAGAAGATTGAATTAAATTCATTATGACATTTAAATTTACGTAAAAACATTCTTAAATGGATTTTTCATTAAATTTGTAATAAGAATTTGATATTTGTTTCTCTTTTACACTTTAATGGAAAATTTAAAAAATTAGAATAAACATTAATTTTTGTTGTTTATTTTACCTAAAAATACAACTAATAAAAAAAAATAATTCTATCAATGCATTTGTTTCTTATGAATAACAATATTAGAGAAAGAAAAATATTAAAGTAACTTTGCGAAGTAATAATGGTAATTGATTTTTAATGAATTTTGAACTATAAAAGAAACGTACATCTGTTAAAATAAAGTAGACATTAACTTTTTGTCATACTAGCAGGGTAGACCAGTTGCCATCTAAGGCTATAGAAGCCAGTCTGTCCTGCCCTTTACCCATAGCTGGTGAGAGAAGAAGAGGATTCATCCCAGATGTGAATGTAATAGACTTGATGGGAATTTGAACACATCTCTCCGATTTCTCAATCCGAGCTGCTATCCATATCGCAGTCTCATCTTCTCTTCAACAAATCAATAAATTTAAAATATTTAATTTGTTTATAATGGCAATAGCAAATTTCCAATTCCTAGCTTCAAAAGTATAAAATAAAAACCTTTATGCTGATAATTTGATGTTTTATACAAAAGCAAAGAGCCAATCAGGTTTGTTCATTCGTCATTTTGTGCATTGTCATTACCTGCCTTTGACTCGTGTCTCTATGACGGGCACATATTTACTTCCAATGATTTTGACACAGGTTGACGGGGTGTCTTGAGTTCCAAAAGGTGCATTCCGTGTAATAAAATTTCCCGAAGGCCACAACTGAAGTTGATGAGGATCACTCTGGAAAAAAATGAAATGCTAAAATAAAATTCAAAAGAAAATAAAAAATAATTGGTTGTTTACTTATTAAATTATTATATTTTTCCAAGTTGACATTTCCAAAGGAGAGACGGGTATGTGTGTATGTGTGAATTGGAATCAAATATGGATTAAAATCCAACAGAATGATAGAATAAGGAACAAATAGGAAACCGTTATGAATTTAAAAAGTGTTTTGCTTTTATTTAAGCTTCATGAAGCGCTTATGAATTTAAGAAGGTGTTTTGCTTTTATTTAAGTTTCATCAGAAATTTGGGGGGCGGGGGAATGAGTTATGAAAGAGAAAGTTCCGGTAGTTTGAGTTGTGTAATGTTTGTTTTTCATTAGTCAAGTAGATCTCATGATTTTTGCCTTGTGGTGTGTGTTTGTGTGCAGGCACATCTAGATTCTGGTGTGCATTTTAGTTTTTTATAGGTACTGACACGGATTATAAATGCCTTTCTTGAAGATAAATTTAGGTTTTATTTGAAATTTAATGACCTAAAGCTAATCTAAATTAAAAGAAAAATTAATTTCCATATATAAATAAACTTTTTAGGCATTTGAAAAACATTTGCACGTTTTTTTGTCATTAATCGACTCGACACATCGAGCCGCTATGCAATAATTGTACATAATTTTAAAATTCTCTTTAAAATCCAATATTTATCTTATGTGTTTCGAAGTTTGTTAGTAAATTTAAAAAAGGTAAATTTCTATTTTGTTTCCCTAGCGCTAATATTCCTTCAAATCTTTCCAAAATCGTCATAATTCCATGCAAATGTACATGCTGAACTCGAATTGACAATTAAATTATGAAGAAACATTACCGTTTTGGAGTTATCGACAAGAAAAAATCGGACTTTTTGTTGATCATTCATCCCCCATTACTGCCATCATGAATCCTTATTCGCTGCGGGATACTTGCACTTGCCTTTGGCCTATTTACATCTTTTACAGACTTTCCTTGCAGAAAATCACTACGCACTACCATAAAGAAATGTAAATTTTTTTTTTTTTGGTAAGTTTATTTTTATTTATAACAAAAACAAATTAAATAATACAATAAAACCTTTTTTCCATTTCGAATAGCAATGACAAATTAAAAGAACATATTAAGTAATAAAAATAAAGCATTTTTTATATTGCAAAACAAAAAAAAACAAAAATTAAGACACAAACTTGGTAAAGTAGAAGGGTTGATTGTATTATTTCGGTAGTGCGTAGTGATTTTCTGCAAGGAAAGTCTGTAAAAGAAGTAAATAGGCCCAAATTTTATGTCTCCGTAAAAAATTTTCAAAAAGTGAATTACTTCGTTCAATACCATGGAGTAATGGCTGATGAAAGACCGAGAAGAAGTACGATTTTTTTCTGGTCGTTAACATCTGAAAAGGTAGGTTTCTTCATGATCTTGCTGGAGATGTGCAGAATTTATTAATTGTAATTGAGAGAATCAGAAGGAATTTATGTAGGTTGCGTGACTTTCTGCATCCACAAACAAATAAATAAATGAATTTTAAATACGATCAAAAACAAGACATATTCAATTTAGAAACCAATAAAACATTTATATACAATTCAAAGTAATATATATACAGAATATTTTGGTATATGTTACCATGGTAAAGTGTGTGTGATATTTTAGGTTTTGGTATGTCTCTCTTAGTATTTGTATGTTCATTTACAGTCTTTCTGGAATTGTGTTAATATTAAAAATGTCGTTATTAAGTGTTTTTAGGAAGGAGTTCTTATGGAGTGATCTACCTTTGACTGTAATATTTCTGAATCGTTCGAACATTGATTTTTACTTAATAATGTAGTGAGTATAGTTCACTTTGGATAAGCAAAGTTTTTTTTTATATTTAAAATTCTGAGGTCCACAGAGTTGGTCGAGTTTAAATTGCAAGTGAGTCAGCGTTGATGTACTTTTTGCGCGGTAAAATCGTGATTTCGAGTGACGTGGAGTATGTTGGCAATTTCTCTGTGGATGTTCGTCTCTGACTGCTTTGGTCAGTCGGCGTTTTCATTTATATATTTTGAAAGTCCAAAATCGGCTCAAAGAAGTTTTGGCGCAATTTTGTTTTGCACGTGAAACTTTCAGATTATTGTGTCGTTAACCAATGAGATTTGTTGATTCGCCTAGTACGGTTTTTATTGGTCCAAGTTTTCCGTACGTAGGCGTAAGATATAGACTGTTCTGTTACTAGGGGTGATAGGTAGGAAAGGACGAGTCAACAATCTAATTGTTGATTTGAGTTCAGCATGTACATTTGCACGGAAATATAAGACTATTTTGGAAAAATTTGAAGGGATATTAGCGCTCGGGAAACAAAATAGAAATTTACCATTAAAACTTAAACTGAATTTTCTAATGGCTCGGCATAACAAGTTTCGTCCCTTCAGTATTGTTATTTTTATTTCGTTCTGTTGTCTTTTCCTGGGTTCGTTCTGTAATAAAGCGTGTCTCTCTCGTTCATTTTCAATCTCCATTAAGGTTTTTTTAGTTGTTTTTCCTTCTCCTTGTCTGTACGAGTTGGTATTTTATTGTTCATAATTAATTAAACTAGAGACGTAAGACGATATGTTTTACTGGCGCTTACATTTTACTTAAAAAGGAAAACAGAAAGAAAATAACGGTTAAATTTACACGAGGTAGCCTGTGAGGTCAAAGGTCAAGAAATACAAAAAAAAAAAAAAAAAACTTTCAGAAAAAGCGCACGAAAGTTAAAATTATAAATATAAAATCTAAAGCAATACGGAAGGCCAGCAGTGCAACAATCAAGAATTTGTTATTTATGTTTAAAAATAAATTTTCTTTAACCAATAGTTTAAGAATATATAATACACTATGAATAAAAACTTGAAGACATTTTAGAGGCGCTATCAAAACAAAAACATGTAAATTTGCGTTAGAGTTTACTTTAAGATATGAAAAGAAAAACATTTTTATTCTAAGACTCTTACTTAGTCTAAGAGTAAATTTTAGAAAAATTATTGTAAAGTATTCTTTTTTTTATGCAAATGAAATAGTTTAGTTAGTAGTAATTTTGAAAAAAGATTTGGTGGCGAGTGTAATAAATTATACAGAAAAAGATAAGACAATGATTTGTTTTTAAAATAATAAAAAACTTAAAATAACAACTTACGTTTAATTACTGAATTAAGTCATTAGTTATTCTTGTATAGACAAGGAACTGTAAATACAGGAAAAGAGAGACACGCGAAAAAAAAAAAAACAAAAAAAACACCCGTACTGATGAAAGCAATTTCATTTCAAAACACAAAAACTGACTGAACGAAAAAAAAAATCAGATTATTAATTCATAATAATAATATACTCATCCAATATTGAATAGTAGTCAGTCAAAGCGAGATATCTGAATTATGTCCTTTTTTAGTTTTTTGTACATCTGTAGCAAAAAAAAAAAAAAAATAGTTGCTAAAAGAATAAAATAAAATTCTTTTTAAAAAGTTTCATACCCGAAAGTGGAATTAAACTTTACATTTTTTAAAATATCTAAATGCGAATTTCAATGTGCGACTGTGTCACACACTTTTTTTTTTACTCTTAGAGACATATCATACATACCATTTTGGAATCAGATCGACTCTGTGAACAAATTAAAAACATTCCAGGACGAATCCGGACCCGCAATCCAGGAACTCTTGATTCCCAAGTTTTCATTACTGCCATTGTTTTCGGCGAATTTTTACGTGATTTTTTGGGATGAAGTTTTTGTACGATATATATAACTTATATATATTTTATAACTTGGAAATAAATTTGGGAATAATCGAAATTAATTGCGAAATCCAACGAAAGTCACCCATGAAATGAAAATAATTGTTTGTATGGAAGGTAAGGACCTACGTACATCAAATCGTCTTTAAATTAAGTGGCGGCAGAAGAATTATTGTTGAACTTATAAATGGTAAACTTAAATATTAATGCAATACTTAAATGCAGCGATCAATTTTGAGTTCTTCTGTAGTTTATTGTTGCCTATTGCATCTACTTCTCCCTATCTATTATGATGAAGGCTCAATCAAGAGCCCTTCACAGGAGCTAACTCAAATGCCACCCGATAGGGCCGCTTTTCAGCTAGTCTATCTTTTAATAAAATAAATTCTCGTGACGAATTTTTTTATTTTTTGTTTAAAAGGATTCTTCTCAATGAACATTAACGAAACCTGATGTAAATAAAATATATAAAAATATATATATATTTCTTAAACACAAATATTAAATGTTGATATTTTGGTAAAGCATAAATTCAAAATGAAAAAATATTTTTGGGGTTTTATTAAATTAATGAATGAAATGTGACATTTTTAATCATTGTTCAAAACTTGAAATTGCATAATTTTTTTTTTGGTAGAAATAATAGTAAATATTCCTTTTTCTTTATAAAAATCAAAATTGGACGAAATCCATATGTAAAAATTAAAAGATACACACGAAATTCGAATCATTTGGGTGAATTGTGCCAATCCAGGTAATGAAAAAAAAAAAAGGATGTTGAAGTCCTTTATTTAATTGCTTTTGATTTTCTCATTCTGGCTGTACAGGAAGGATATCTTGCCTTGTTCTTTTTACAATTGCTCGTTTATTGTTCAGCCTGTTTCCACGCATCACATCCAGCTCATGAATTGAACTCCGGCAGTGGCCAATCGCGATCCACTTGGCTATGTAGAGAAAAATTGGTAATTATGAATATCAAAATTATTCAATAACTTTTTTTATTCCAGTGGACGGCATATGAATACATTTTTCTTTCACTAAGAACTCTACAAATATAGCAAAGTGCATTTTGACCAATCCTCATTGAATATCTAATTTTAAAACTTGTTAATTGATGATCACGTCCATAAATTACCAATATATTTTTATTGACTATCTTAATTCGACATTGGCCATAAAAATACTTTTATTAATCGATGATTCATTTATCTTTCGGCTG